ATTGGCTGCTAACTACGGACTGGGGGGGGGTGTTGCAAGGAGAGGGGGGGTGACTGATTCCCTCTAACTGTGTTTTTTGGACACACATCGTGTATGGTTTGTTTGCACCAGAGGTGGATTCGGGGGGGATCGCGGGGGATCGCAGTTCCCCCGGGTGAGGTGCGGGGGCGAGGCACATGACGAAGCCCCGCTCCCTTCTTCCAGCTGCCCCCTGCTTCCAGCCTCATTCTGTTGCAGAAGGAGGAAGAAGCAGGAGGGTAAGTTGGCGTCCTCCCCCTCTGCCTGGCCGAGGCCACTCCACGTGGCCTCCGCAAGGACTCCCAGCCCCATCCAGGAGCTTCTCCGAGGTAGCTGTGTTAGTCTGTTGCTGCAAAATAGTCCAAGAGTTCAAATAGCACCTTTAAGACTAACAAATAGCACCTTTAAAACTAACCTTTAAGACTAAGACTGAGTGGTGGGGGTGGCCTTATGACACACTTCCGGTGATGTCAGGGGGTGTGGCATATGCTAATGAGTTATGCTAATGAGTTCCCCTAGCTCTTTTTCTACGAAACAACCCCTGGTTTGCACTATCAGCTTCCTCGGGTGAAGCCCTCCCAGTTTGCAGAGTAATTTGCACACAAGGGGCTGGCTCGAGCCCATCAGAGGACCCGCCCCCAAATCTCCAGGAGTTTCCCAATGCACAGCCGGCAACCCTATCACAATCAGACGTGAGCTGCAAGTTCTCCACCATTCCCACATCTGGAATGACCAATGCAGATTGGGCATGGAGAAAGGGTTTCAGCATCCCTCCTCTCTCCGTCATTTCCCCCCCCAACTGGAAATGATCCTAGGGGGCATTATTTGGCCTGTTGGGGAAATTCACAACTATCCCAGGATTCATGCAGGTTTACGCTAACAGCATCCCCTGCCCCAAACATTTCAGGTCTGGAAAACAGCAGGTGGTGGGGTTTCAGATGAGGAAAACGGCATGAGGAAGGCGGAAACCCCTTCTCTGCGCACGCTGTGATCTCAATCAGAGTTGAGCACTGCACACACAGGAACTGAGGAGAACCTACAACTTGCCTCTGACTATTGAGCACTGCGCACACAGGAACTGAGGAGAACCTACAACTTGCCTCTGACTGTTGAGCACTGCGCACACAGGAACTGAGGAGAACCTACAACTTGCCTCTGACTGTTGAGCACTGCGCACACAGGAACTGAGGAGAACCTACAACTTGCCTCTGACTGTTGAGCACTGCGCACACAGGAACTGAGGAGAACCTACAACTTGCCTCTGACTGTTGAGCACTGCGCACACAGGAACTGAGGAGAACCTACAACTTGCCTCTGACTGTTGAGCACTGCGCACACAGGAACTGAGGAGAACCTACAACTTGCCTCTGACTGTTGAGCACTGCGCACACAGGAACTGAGGAGAACCTACAACTTGCCTCTGACTGTTGAGCACTGCGCACACAGGAACTGAGGAGAACCTACAACTTGCCTCTGACTGTTGAGCACTGCGCACACAGGAACTGAGGAGAACCTACAACTTGCCTCTGACTGTTGAGCACTGCGCACACAGGAACTGAGGAGAACCTACAACTTGCCTCTGACTGTTGAGCACTGCGCACACAGGAACTGAGGAGAACCTACAACTTGCCTCTGACTGTTGAGCACTGCGCACACAGGAACTGAGGAGAACCTACAACTTGCCTCTGACTGTTGAGCACTGCGCACACAGGAACTGAGGAGAACCTGCAACTTGCCTCCGACTGTTATATGAGGCAGGGATCCCGGAGAAAGATTGTGTGTGTACCATGTGAACCAGCCCTTAGCCCAGTGTGAAGCAGCTACTTTGCTCTGATGCCTCTAATGGGGTTGCCAACCAGGCTGGGAAATTCCTGGAGATTTGAGAGAACATATTTTGGGGAAGGGAGAGAGCTCACTGGGGCACAATGCCGTAGAGTCCACCTTCCAAAGCAGCCACTTTCTCCAGGGGAGCTGATCTCTGTTGCTTGGAGATCAGGTGGAATTCTGGGAGATCTCCAGGCACCCCCTGGAGGTTGGTGCCAGGGCCGGCCCGTTATTGTTCAATTTTAGACTGTCGCCTAGGGTGCCATTCTAGCCGGCCTCGTCCCCTCCTCGCCCCACACAGGAAGCCTCCCTTGCTGGCTTCTTGCTCCATCCCCGGCAAGAGACTCCCCTCTTTGCAGCCCCCCAGACAGAAAGAGAAGGAGGTGGGGTGGGGACAGGCACGGGGAACAGCCCGGGACAACGTGAAAGTGCCGCTCTCCCTCTGCCACCCCCGGCCCCGCAGTCTCTTTGGAGCTCCTTTTGCAGCTTGGCACAGGCCCCCTCCCCCTCCCCTCGAGCCATCCCACCTCCCCGCATGCATTTGCAGCTTGCCCCCTTGGTCTGCCCGCTGCGGATCTGGCACCCGCCCCGCATGGGGGGGACACCAGAATGTATCCTTGCCTAGTGGGCAAAAAAACCTGGGGCCGTCACTGGTTGGTGCACCCTGTAGTTCAGTTTATATCTTTCCTGCAAGGAGCTCAAGGCAGAGATGGTGTATCCTCCTCCATTTTATTCTACCACGTGAGGCAGGTTCGTCAGGGAGTGAGAGAGTGTGAGTGGTTCAAAGGTCACCCAGTAAACTTCCTCACAAAGGAGGGATTCAAACCCCGGCCTCCCTGGCCCTAAATCAACACTCTAACTACCTGGGCTTTCCACGGTGTGTGTGAGGGAGAGAAGGGATGATTGAAAATTTTTAGCCATTGATGAAGAACCAGGGCTCTTTTTGTAGAAAAAGCCCAGCAGGAACTCATTAGCATAATAGGCCACACCCAACAGCAGGAACTCATTAGCATATTGGGCCACACCCCTGACAGCACAGCTTATTAGCACATTAGGCCGCACCCCCATGTTTCCAGAAGTGTGGTTATCCAGCCACACCCACCTTTTGCTTGTTATTCTGTTTATCTTGTTTGTTGTCAAAACCCAGGGCCTTTTTTTGTAGCAGGAACTCCTTTGCATGTTAGGCCACACCCCCCTAATGTAGCCAATCCTAATGGGTTTCTGCTGTTGGGTGTGGCCTATTATGCTAATGAGCTCCTGCTGGGAGTGGCCAACTTGGGAGCCAGCTGGAACTCCGTTCCTGTGCGTTCCTGCCCAAAAATAGCCCTGTAATAACTATGACCCGGAAACAGTTTTAATGATATGATGTTCCAAGTTCGAGCTTGCCCAGGTTGGGTGCTGTACGTTCTGGAAGCCACCTGTGGTTCTTTGCTGATCACGGAAACGCGTTCTGGGTATCCCCAGAGGACCTCTCGTCCAATGCTCCCTCTAAGCTGTGGATCCTTGTGAGCAAAAATGCTACTTTGTGAGCTACTGGCAATAAAGCTGTGAGTGAGCGATTTGGCTACTGCACAAATAAGTCTGCTCTGGAGCCCTCGTTCCTGAGTTGAGACAAACATGTCTGAGACGAAGGCTAAAAAACCTGTGAGCTAGCTCACACTAACTCAGCTTAGAGGGAACACTGCTCTTGTCTATAAGATTACTGAAAAGGTTCTGCAGTTAAGGCCTGCCCTTGAAAGCAGTTTCCAGGACTGAAAAGCCCACAAGTTCTATAACAGTGATGGCGAACCTTTTAGAGACCGAGTGCCCAAACTGTGACCCAAAACCCACTTATTTATTGCAAAGTGCCAACATGGCAATTTAACCTGAATACTGAGGTTTTACTTTAGAAAAAACAAATCATACATTAACTTAAGATGATCCAAACAAAGTAAGGAAAGCAATCCCAAATGCTTTCACTTACCTTAAATTATTTGGCAGAGAATTCGACACTTTAATGACAGTCTGGGCCTGGCTGGGGCGATGGCACACGTGCCCACAGAGAGGCCTCTGAGTGCCGCCTCTGGCACCCGTGCCATAGGTTCGCCACCACTGTTCTATAACTTATCTTGAGGAGTCCTGGTTCAAATTGCCCTTTCTGATTTTGGAGGTGCCTTTATTTATGTAGATATTGTCACCTCATTTTGTCCCTAAGGACGACCCAAACAAATTTGTATCATTGTTCTTCCACCTTCCATTTGACCCTCACAACAACAACAACAACAACCCCACAAAGTAGGTTAGTCTGAGAGTGAGTGACTGTCCCAAGGTAAGCTTGCTGGCTCTGGGTTGGGAAACACCTGGAGCTTTGGGAGGGGGTAGAACCTGGAGAGGGTAGTGTTCGGGGAGAAGAGGGACCCCATCACGGTATAACTCCATAGAGTCCACCCTACAAAGCAGCCATTTTCTCCAGGGGACTTCAGACCCGTAGCCAGGATTTTTTTAATTTGGGAGGCCTTTAAATAAGTTGGGGGAGGGCACTCTAACACACCCCCAAGCAAGCACCATAAATAAAATAAAAAATTGAACGTTGGGGGGCCTGGGTGGTAAATTGGGGGGCTGGGCCCCGAGAGGCCCCACTGTAGCTACGGGCCTGGGGGGCTTGATCTTGGTCATCTGGAGGTCAATTGTGATAGTGGGAGATCTCTGGGTGCCACCGGGAGATTGGCAACCCTATTCCCAAGGTCACCCAGCAAGCTTCCAAGGCAGCGTGGGGATCTGAGCTTGGGCCTTCCCGATCTTAATCCGGTACTTTAACCGCTGCACCGCACTGCTTTCTCCCACAACTCCTCTGCTGAGGGCTTCCTGTCGAGAGCAGTTGGATAACTCTAGTGTAAGCAGTCATCAAATCCCTCTTCCCATCCCACTTCAGCTGTGTCCTTTAAAACTTCAGGACGTCTATAAATAAATGTATATTCAGATAAGCCAAGCAAGCCAGCAAGAAGCAATCAACCATGAAATCACTGGTTAAGCTTAAAATGACAAAGCTAGGGAATTGTGTTTTTTTTTCCCCTCCAGGAAAGACAATGCATAAGATTTCTCTCTCTCTCTTTTTTCTTTGCAGTGCTGTGGAAAAAAAAAACGAACTGTGTTTTATTTTGGGGTTTCTGTCGTCCTAGGTATTTTGGAAATATTTGCTGTGTCTCAGGGGATTGTAGGAATACGAGGAGTTTTCAGCAACAAATTTTTAGCGATGTCAAAAAAAGGAAAACTCCACGCAAGTGTAAGTAAAAGAACGTCAACGCTGCCTTTCCAGGATATGTTAAATGGTGTCTTTGGTCTGCCAAAAAAAAGTAATGTTGCGGCAACTTTTGCTGCTTATCAAAGGGTTAAATTCTCCCATGGGATTTGATTCTGCAAATCTGTGTACTTTAGAAAATTTAGAAGAGAACGAGTGAAGTTCCTTCTCTTGACCTTGAAGACTTCATCACCCGCGGGCACAGCTTCTAAATTACCTTGACAAATGCAGTTTGCCAGCCATGTAGGGTGACCCACCAGAACCCTAAAAACCAGCTAGTATTCCGGCCATTTTGGGATTACAAGTGGATATTGTGTCTCTGTACAGTGGGAACCTCAGCTGATTCACGTTACAAAGTTCTATGCTTCTATTCAGTGGAACAGGCTTCCTCGGGAAGTGGTGGTCTCTCCTTTGGAGGTTTTCAAACAGAAGCTAGATGGCCATCTGACAGCAATGCAGATTCTGTGAACTTAAGCAGATCATGAACGGGAGGGCAGGAAGGGTTGCCTCAGTGCTTAGTTCTCGTGGCCCTTTTTTACATGCCCAGGGAAATGCTGATTGCCACTTTGGGGTCAGGAAGCAATCCTGGAGGATTTTTGTCATCTTCTGGGAGTGGAACAGCGGTCACTGCGGGTGTGGAGGGGGAGGTATTTGTGAATTTCCTGCATTGTGCAGGGGGTTGGACTCGATGACCCTGGAGGTCCCTTCCAACTCTATGATTCTATGATTCCTTGTGCCCCCCATGAGGACGTTGAGCGGCTGTAGGGTTGCCAATCTCCCGGTGGCTCCTGGAGGCCTCCTGCTATTACAGTTGCTCTCCAGGCAACTGAGATCAGTTCCCCTGGAGAAAATGGCTGCTTTGGAGAGTGGACTCTGTGGCATTATACCCTGCTGAGGTTCCCCCCCCCCCAAACTCCACCCTTCCCAGAATCCTCCCTCAAAATCTCCAAGTATTCTCCAACCCAGAGTTGGCAACACTAATTAATGTATTCTGGGATTTCTGTGGTTCCCAGGCAGGTCGGGTCAGGATCACAGCACACGGGGAGAGGAGACTTAAGCCCCACACACCATTTTCCTGGCTGGCCCAGGCTAGCTGGAGCTCATCAGACCTTAAAAGCTAAGCAAAGTTGGTCCTGGTTAGTATTTGGGTGGGAGACCAGCAAGACAGTCCAGGGTTGCTATGTAGAGGCAGGCAGTGGGCAAACGACGTCTGAATGTTTCTTGCCTTGAAAACCCTCTGAGTTGCCACAAGACGGCTTCGGCTTGACAGCCTTTTCCACCACACCACCGCCACCATTTTTGCAACCTGAGATGGCCCCGGAGAGTTGTTATTTGCTCTGCTTGAAAACACGTCTGGGGAGCATGGAGTTCCCCAAACATGTTTGACTGAATGTCCTCGTGGGCTTTGTAACATGCGAGTTGGCCCTCATCACAGACATGTTGGCTTGAATTTTTGAACTGTCTACAGACACTAGACAGTTCCATCACCTCCAGATCTGCGCAGGCACACAGCCAAAGCAAGCTCTGGTTTTTCTTCTCTGAGTACACTGCGGAATATTGCTCCAGTAGAAGAAAATGTGATACGGGTTTAGTCTGCCACCACTGTTCCCTCTAAGCTGTGAAGTCCTGTGAGCAAAAATTCTACTTTGTGAGCTGCTGGCATTAAAGTTGTGAGCGAGTGATTTGGCTACTGCATAAACTAGCTTGCTCTGGGGCCATCCTCCCTGAGCTAAGACAAAAATCTGTGAGCTGTAAAATTCTGTGAGCTAGCTCACACTAACGCAGCTTAGAGGGAACATTGTGAATTTTCTGGAGCCCTGGCTAGGATCGAGAAATGGGCCCTTCATAAACCCTAGGAGCTGGTGAGGAGCACGTTCTCAGCAGGGGTCATTTTGTAGAAGAAGAGCTAGGGGAACTCATTAGCATAACTCATTAGCATATGCCACACCCCCTGACATCACCGGAAGTGTGGCATAAGGCCACACACCCCGCCGCCAACGGTTCCGGCCACCACCGCCGGCCTTGCAGCTCCACTGCCGAGCCCCATGAGGGGCCCAGCGGTGGACCTGCAAGGCCGGCGGGAGTGCAAAGAAGTTCCGCGAAGGCCCTCCCTGGCCCCAGGCAGGCAGGGGTGGGGAGAGACAGGGAGGAAGCAACTTACCCTCCCTCTTCTCCTGCCTCCTCCTGGCTAAATGAGGGCCGGAAGCGGGGTGGCCGGAAGCAGGGGGCGGGGCTTCGTCATGTGCCCCGCCCTCCTGTACCTCACCCGGGGGAACTGCGATCCCCCCCAAAATGACCTCTGGTTCTCAGGCATTTGATAAGACCACAGTACGAAGCTGGTGAACTGTGTTTGGCTCCTGCAGGCCCAACACTGGCTCCTCAGATGCTGAGAGATTTTGGGGGTGGTCCCTGGGTAGGGCAGAGTTTGGAGAGGGTGTGATGACATTTCTGGGTAATGTTCTAGGCTTCTTCTCCTGTCTCTATGGTTTTTACCACAGAGACGAGGGGAAAGTCCAAGAGCATCCCTATATGGCGGCCATTTTTCCCTCCCACTCCTCAGTTCCTGAAGGGCAAGAAACTGGGGCTGAGGCTAGGTTATTCCTTGCTCTGGGTGGGTAAATGGGAGGCCTAATTGAATCCTTCCACTAAGATGAAAATTTATTTATTTATACGATTTCTAGACCGCTCTCCCCTAGGCAGGGCTCAGGGCAGTTAACATTTCAACAATACATTATAACATTTCAATAACTATGACAGTACAGAATCAAATGAAAATTTTAAGACAGTAACAGACTGTTTCAGATGGCATTTAAATTGCATTCTTACCCCTTGGAGGGGAGGGGAGATAAAGGAGGCCAGGCTCAGTGTTCAGCCGTTGTCCTCAACCATAGGTCTGGCAGAACATCTCTGTTTTGCAGGCCTTGTGGAACTGCATGGAGTCCCACAGGGCATGGAAGATGCCATTAGACAGAGAGTTCCACCAGGCCAGGAAGGATACGTTAATATTTTCATCGAGAATACTGTAATACTTGCATTGATTTGCATTCTCAAAGAAACAGGCTGAGCTTCCACTTTTGGTGTGATGTCAGAGGTGCAATTGGCAACCAGCTGGTATTTTGCTCACCCAGTCACTAAAGCTGTGTTCTCTCAGATAGCCAGTACTGGAAACTGGAAAACCAGAAAAATCCAAATTCTGCCATAGCTCTAGCTCCACCTGTGGTCCAGCTGCCCCTGCATGTCTTAACCCCATTCCTTGGCCCTGTCTAGGAACAAATGTACTTTAAAGCAAAATGTTGGTAGCCCTATTTAGGAGGAAGGACTTATATTATGAAGAGTAGGTAAGGAGGAGGTGGTGAATGGAGACAGGATACACCAACATTTTGCACGGTAGGGACTCTCTTCATATTGGATCTGGCCAAGGTGGAAGCGGTGCTGGGTTCATTTGGCATTTTCCCCAAACTGAGCGCACTTCTCAGAGCCCTGCAAACCATCACAGGGGACCAGGTTTGCCAGCCCTTCATTGGCAAATGCTGGGAGGTTTGGGCGGGGGGGGCAGTGCTTGGGAAGGGTGGAGCTTCAGGGGAAATGATGTCACATCCTTGGTGACATTCTAGAAACTCTCTCACTTTTAGTAGTAAAGACCATAGAGATTGTAGGGATTCCTATAGCATCGCCCTGAAGTGACAGGACATTCTCCAGCCCTTTACTCAAAAGTGTTATGACTTCTGGGTGACAATCTAGGAATTTCTACAATCTCTATGTTTTTTAACCACAAAGGTTTAGGGAATTCCTCATACATTACCATTGATGCTATCCCCACCCCTGCTTTTTCTCTAGCTCCCCAAATCATTGAGGTTGGGTGGGGGATTGGGGCCAAGGGCAGAGGTTTGCCCACTGCAGGTAGGCAAATGGCAAGATTGCAGGGGATCTTGCCATATACCCTCTTAGTTTATACAGGATCTGTGAGTCGATTGGGCTCCATGTGCAAAGTAGGGTTGCCAGCCTCCAGGTGGGGCCTGGGGATCTCCTGCTTTTACAACTAATCTCCAGGTGACAGAGATCAGCTCCCCTGGAGAAAATGGCTGCTTTGACGGGTGGGCCCTATGGCACTGTACCCTGCTGAGTTCCCCTCCCCTCCCCAAACCCCGCCCTCTCCTGGCTCCACCCCCGAAGTTTGCAGGTATTTTCCAACCCAGACCTGGCAACCCTAGTGCAAAGAATGCTGGGATGCCAAGACAATGGAATTCTGGGAGGGCTCCCACAGCTGTTTGGGACTAGACGAATGTGGACTGACCGAGCTGTTATTGTGAGTGCCGCAAATATATGCTAAAAGAAAATGCATTGAGAGTGATACATCTCAAAGGCTGAGAACTACAGTTAATCGTATGCCGTTCTACTTTGTAACTTCTAATCCTGGATATTTCTTGCTTAAGTTGAGGAACTAAGAGACTAAGGTCTGCTTGTCTGTCCTTGTAGGACATTAGGTTTCTAGTAGTTGGATCAGAACTGTGGTACACATGGAGGAGGTGCTTCAGCCTCCCCCCAACCCCTATTTTCCAACCCAGAACAGTTCGGGGGGGGGGGGGGGTTTTTTGGCTGGTTGGGGAAA